GCTAACATCGATACCCTATTTATGACCAAAACAGCTGAAAAACAATACCCTTTGGAGCCGCACATAACTGTATAGCCCATACAAGGGAGCCCCCCTGGGGCAGGTAGCCTTGGGTGACAACCATATTTAGCAATAATATTTGCTAAGAACATGTATCAAACAGTTAACTATACAGTCTGGTGGAACCCCTCCCCCCCTCCCTCCCTTACGGCCACCCTGTTAGTGTGGCCACCTCATTATTATGGCCACTTTTTTCTGGCCTGAAGAAAAGATTAGTCAGTCATTTTCTTATTTAAAGGACCCCTGATTTTTTCGGCCCATATTGGTGACGGGATTAATGGGGTTCCAGTCTGTACTATATATGTTATACATGGGTGGCTGCAGTATTAGCTAGTATTCCTCTGTGCACCTAGATTTTACAATTTAAATAAAGGTCAAGTCTGCATACAAGCCAAGTGGCCCATCAGGCAGGCACTTATCTATAGTTTCTCAATAGCATGAAGTGACCAGGGGTATTTCTACTCCCCCCTGGATGGGTTGCTAGTTCATCGCAGGGTTACCCCCATCATTAATTTTGCCGGCTCCCATTTATACACCTAGATGGGGAGAGACACTGTAAGAGTTTAGTGTATTGTCCAAGAACGCAACACAGTGTTCCCGGCCAGTACTTGAATCTGGACAGCTCAAATTTTTCAGGAGCCCAACCATTTATAAGTGCAAAATTTCTTCAGATGATGAGCCATTCTTTAAATAAAGTAACTTCCCTGGGCTCAATAGAATTCACTGTTAATCTTGAAGGCTTACCGATCATGGTTCCCCTGGCGAATCCCCCGGTAAAGAACACTCATTTGCAAGCTTATTTCACAGGAAATCTACCAAAGCGGGACGAGTTTTTTTACCCTTAAACTGAACAGCAGTGGCTGTGATTCCCGCTATGTTCGACGTGATCGAACGTTGACGATCGAACCTTCCACTTTCGAACCTATGGATGATACATGTGCAGGTACCATTCTGATAGAAATCAAGACGTATTGTAGAGCCAGAAGAAGCTTTCCTACGGCACTTAGCGACCTTCTTTTTGTTAATTATACTTCAGACTTGCTGAGCGTGCTTTCAATTTGTATAGATAGTGCTGTCAATAGTATTTCACAAATCAGATAGTGATTACTATACAGACACGCGAGCTAATTTCAAATATTCACACGAATTCAGAAGGAATCAGTCTCCAGCCGACGGGAAGAAAACCCAAACAGCATAAATGAACTAAGTGCACAACTTACAATCTCCGTCATGTCTGTGACCTCCATAGCTATTCAAGAGGGCGTGAATTCGTAGGACTCTCGTAGCCTGCTCGTGCGTCCGTCAAACGACTGAATGTCTAAAAGCAATGAGAGTCACCTTTTATGTAATTTATTTTAGAAACCGTGACATTACGTCACGACCTTTCATTTCCGTTTTCCGTTTACCTTGCGAAAGCAAAGGAAACTTGTAATTGTCCAAGTTTATATCTAGATATATATAAAAAAGTGTTAAGTCTGGCTAGCTTCTTTCGATACTAGCAGAAATGTGCGATATTCCGTCCGGTTCGTAAGGTATCGTGATTCACAAGGCGTGACACGAGCTCAAGTCGCGTGACACGCTCAAATACTTCCGCTAGGTGTGACAAGACAGTTTCGGAAGTTAATTCATGCGCTTTGTCATTTATTCAAGTGAAAGTTACGACCACGTCAAAGCGCGTTTCGTGGCGTTTTCATCCCTGTCAGTTCCCAATTTCCTTATTTCTTGCTAGGAAGGAAATAATGAAATAAAGCGAGACGACGAGAGATCATCGTCTCAAAAAGAATTTCTCTTGTCTTTTGATTAACTAATGTAGTGGACTCAGGAAAAGCCATAAACATGATAACAATCTCCCTCCCAAGCTGGTTACTCAGGTTACATTTGTACGAAAGGTCTTATTCAATTAACTAAAAAGGACTTCAACTGAAAGGTAAAAGGTGAGTGCTGCGGAACGCGAACGCTAGATCCGGAGTCCAGCTTGCTAACCCGTTAGGCCGCCCCCGGAGGCCGCCCCACCTCCACTTTAACTTGACGTAAATTCACTGTCTTGATTGTATTCTATTTGTATCGGCAATCCTTCCTCTGCCTTCAATGATTTCAACTGATTGAATACTTGCTGAATGGAAACAAAGATATTTAAGGCTCTTTGCACTAAAAAAAGGAGGTAAATGGTTAAAACAGTCGCATATTGTCACTGTTTAATAGTTCTTGATGGCACTGATTGCGGGTGGTCTTCCGCGCTGATGGTTCGAGAGTAAAAGAACCAAATAAATAATAATAATGATAATAAAACCCCCCAGAATACTGCGTCTTACAATATCCAGGTAATATTACGTTATTTTTGTTTTGTGCAAAGCTTTAATGTGTTTAGACCATTCTTTGATTACGGAGAGGCAAACATTTCATGGACAAGCTACATGTCGAGTCTTTTAACTTGTTAGTTTCGCTTCTCTCGGTTTTGTTCTCTTAGTATTCCGTGTAATCAGTTCATTAGTGTGTGCCTAAACGGAGGATGAAAAGCTTTATTACAAAATTTATCTACCAATGCACTTGCAAATAGACAACTACAATATGTTCCGCCAGTCATTGGATATCATTCGGGAATTAGTTCTCAATTCGGCACGGTGAAGTGATTTGAGAAATTTAGAGAAGGCTGGCGTATTTAAACGTTTTTTTGCGATCCAATGTTTCTGGCAAATTTAAAGGGGAACTAAAAGTCATTTTTTTGTGACGTACAAAATTATGCAAGAACACTCAAAATGTTTTTAGGAAGGAAAAAGAACACGGCAATGAGCTGACGTTGGCCTAAAGAGGCACAATAATTGCTATCCGGGTGCGAAGGAAGTGACGCTTCAGATGCTAATATTTTGTTAAGTTAGAACCCACGTTTGGATAGAAACTGTATGTTAAGTTTTTTATGAAAGGTGATCTAAATTTGATATTTTTTGCATCGTCATGATGTCTCACCTGTTATCGCAACTTTCGAAAGGAAAAAAAAAATGCAAATTGTTTTTATTTAGGATATTAATTAGTTAACTAAAATTAATCTCAGTGGCTTAACACGATTGGTGGATTCTGTGGCAGTGTGGTTAGGTTCCAACGGTGTAAATTGAAAACAAAATGTTAACTATATCTCCTAAATCTTACACGCACAAATGCCCTTCTACTGTTTCCAAAAAAGAGAGACCTTGCGAAATATTTCAACGGGTTTGGCGAAGTAACATATAAAACTTTAGCACTGTCGATAGCGGCCGTGCTTGAAACTTTTGCCTACTAACGAGTTAAAATTTCGGCGCTTTTTGGCACAGTTTTGTTTTAATTTCTTGTTGACGGCTGAAAACGCCTCAGAGTGGAGACCTTGCCAAGTTAAATATTTCATCAACGTGAACTCGTCAGTTTTGTTTTCTGTCTGAAACATTAAAAGTTCTATTTTCACGCTCTTTCAACTTATGCTCTGGTTTCAGCATTCAGTAACCGCTTGTATAAGACCTTATTCAGCCTCCGCCATTTTCGATGCCATCGAAATTATCGATATTGCATGGTGAAGCGAAATTGTATTGCTTTACTGTAAGTTGTGTTTCTGAATGTATGTTTAATTATCTTTAGTTGTTTCCTTCGTTTCGACCTGTTCAGAATAAAATATAATAGCGAAACTCTGCATGCATGTAAACAAAAGCAAAGCCGCGTGGTCAACTCCCTGGCTTTNTCTATCTTATTAAACTGTTATTTTCAGGTTTCCTACCATTTAAAGGTAATTTTGTATGTGGCCAAAATAACTCAAAATACCGTGACTGAGCTGCTTTAACTTTTGATGTGTTCCGGCTTTGTGTGATATACAACAAGTTTAAATAAGGGAAGCACATATCACCCTTATCGTTATAGGAAAAAACGGAGGCCTTGCAAAATATAATTAACACGTAACGCGATTTAGCGTGGTCCAAGTTTTCATCATCACTTATACGTGGTTTCCTGAAAAAGAGCCTTGCTTAAATCTCAATTGTCATTTCAAGCCCTTGTTTCCTCGTACCTTTAAGGCAAAATAATAACTTGTAAAAATTCCAGTGTAATATACAATAAGTTTTAAATAAGGGAATCACATATCACCCTTATTGGAACAGG